CGACTGCTGCCCAATCCACTGTGCACCGGCCCCTTACGGATCCTCCTGCAGGGGGTGGACCCACGGGAGGATGTCCCCACGTTGCTTATTCGGGCTAAGCCCAGCCGGGCCCGTGAGGGGAGGCCCGGCCACCAGGCGCTCGCATTCGAGCCCCAACCCCGGGCCTGGCTCCAGGGTGGAGCCCCGGCTGTGCCATGCCGGGCGACGTCATGGTCCTTGATTTTAATCTATTCATAAAGGGCTTTTGAACCGCTCTTAGTCTGACCCGTCACCCAGGACCCGTTTGCCTTGGGAGACCCTACCAGGGATATATAGCCCCCGACAACATAGCTCCTAGGATCACTCGGGTACTCAAACCCCTCCACCACAATAAGGTGGCGGTTCAAGGAGGGGATGTTAACTACTGTACATACTAAATACTACTGAGTAGTCTGTCAATTTCTCTCATGGATAAAATAGTCTCATCTCATCTATAATCATTTGTGATAATTCATTTTCTGATTATATGCTGTATTATTACTCTGCATCTGCAGAGTAACTACAGCTGTCAGGTACATGTGGTGCAGTAAAAAGTACAATATTTGCTTTTGAAATGTAGTAGACTAGAAGTAATATAAAATGGACATACTCAAGTGTGCCTATGCCTTTAACTGTGTATCCGTGAGGTGTTTGTACAAGTTTACATCTTCAGTTGAAACCAGGGAGCCACAAAGAGAATTCACACTGTGATTGTGTAACAGGATGTGCAGGGCTGAATATAGTCCTGTCAGAGCGGTTGTGTGTGCATGTTTGTACAACCTCTCGATTCACTTCCAGGATATTTCCCTTTGCTGTGTGCTGTCACTGTGAGTTTCTGCAGACCTACCTCGACCTCCTCACAGTGACCAGGAAAGGTTCATCCTCACCCTCTTCTTCCTGTGGGCCTGTTCAGAGGACAAGGTTCCACAGGTTTACCTAAGTTCCTTAAACAACTGTAACCGACTGTATTTAAAATGTGCTTCACAAAGGTTGACAACCACAACAAACCACAGACAGAAGTCCTAAAGGAGAAATGAAATGGGTCACTGAGCAAAAATTCCTGCGTTCAATCAGCACAAACAGGAATCTTCAGAAAACTAGCATAATGTCAGCTTTAAGGTGAATTTCTGCTTTTGAATCTTCTCGGCTCGAATGACAACAGCTGATAGGTTAGTTCACTAATCAATATCCAAGCTCAGCTCTTTTAAAGCTGAACTCAACCCAGAGTAAAAAAGACAAAAAACACCAAATACAAGGTCACAAAGATGAAACAGGACTTTAATGGGCTGTTATTCTCAGACAGTGTATGACATTTGATTAGCTGCTTGAGCTTGTTTCTGAATTTCAAGATCATCTTCTCAGTGGGGCCAAAATAATATAGGAAACCAGTAAACAACAGCCCCAAAATTCAAACTCTTCACTATTCATCTGGTGATTTGTGAATGTCGACAAGCCTCATATTCAGATTCAAACCAACAATGAATGTCTCTGCTAACAAGTACAGTGTGCATCTTCCTATGGAGCTCAACTGTTGACCAAAAACAATTAAAAGACACCAGGCACTGTAGTTTAATTTGATTCAGTGCCACATACACCCTGCTAGAGACCAAATGTGGACTCATTCGCTGCTGAAAATAGTCCCCGATAAATCCCCCATCTCCTCCTGTTTGTTTGATTAAAAACTACAGTGAAACTATATGTCTGTGAGGTCATTTTGAAGATCTTCATCTTCAGCAGCAAATGGATTAGGACACACTGGGCCCCTAGACAGATTTTATCACCATGACTCTCTTTGTGGTGGTTTTGTGTCTCTCTGTGGCCATTTTAGGTCTGCCATCATTTCTCTCTCTAGTTGTTGTGTGTCTCCTTTTAGTTGATTTTGTGTCACTTTCTGGAACATTTTGCAGGCAGCCTCCAGGGGCCCCGCTGACTCCCTCGAGGCCCTGGGCCTGTGCCCAGTAGCCTTGTTTAGTAATCTGTCCATGTGGACATTTCAGGGAATTTGTTGACAGTAGGACATTAAAGAATAAAGCCAGCTTTATCTTGAAACTAAAAACAAACCTTTTTAAGCACCTGCAGGTTGCAGAGGGACATGTTAAACCTTTTAAAACATAAACACAGTAAATAAAATAAAACATATGAAAACTGCAGATGGCCATATATATACATATATATATATTTTAGACTGTGTTTTCTTCCTGGTCTTCTTCCTGTAAATATCCTGAACTGATGAGACATCTCAGAGACAGCTGAGGTCTGTTCGGATTAAACTCGGATCGTGTAGGAGTCAGAGTGGGTGACGTATCGGACCCAGCGCTGCAGAGGGCCGGGCTGGACAGGCGACAGACGGAGGAAGCGGATCTGCAGCCCTGTGGCGGTAAACTTGGGCAGCTCGAAGTTCAGCCCGACCGGACCCACCTCCAACATGGAGGCCGAGCTGAGGCCAGGGACCTCCAGCTAAAAACAGGAGCACACAGGAGGGTGGGGAGGAAATCATTAGAAAGCATGTTGGTCCCAGAACAGTGCACTGTTTCCTTTAGCTCAGTGTTTTCAAGCTGCTCTGTTTGTGAAACTGAAGCAACGGTAAAACAACTGGGTATTGTGTTTGTCTCATACCCACTCATTCATTTTCAGTTACAATAAGGAGATTTAAAACAAGAAAAGCACTTTATTTTACAGGTCTTGTGATTCCCAAATAATTTCCTAATAAATGATCTTGAAAGAATTATGTATGTATGTAGAATTGTGTTACTTATTTAGTTACTTTATATTTCATTTGTATTTTGTGGCATTCATGTGGACGGCAAAGTAAGAATTTCATTGTACAGGAAAACACGTTTCCTAACTGTGCATATGACAAATAAACACTTTGACCTTTGACCTACTAATGATATCGGCGCGCTGTTGTTTCTTTCCACAGAGTTGAACAAGACAAGTTACAGCTACAACTCGATTAATTTCATGGGTACTGTCCTGATCAATCCTGTGGGGCATAAATCACCAGGGAAGTGTGAAAAAGGCTCATTCCAATTTCCATGAGCACAAGCTGTTGTTGTCAAATGTTTTTAGTCTGACAAACTGTCTTTAACTCAGAGGTTCAATTTGCTTTAATGTCGGACGAGGACAGGCAGCAACATCTCACCTGAACCCGTCAAACATTTGTGACAGACCTGTGACTGAAACAATTAACTGGGTACGAAGCCAGTCGCCAATTAATTCTCTGTTGTTTTATAAATACATATTTTAATATTCACATGCTTAAAATACTGTGGAATAACTCAGCCATGCTAGCAGCTCTGTGCGCCTGTACAGAGGCACAGGTAAGCGTGTTCAGTGTTCGTGTTTAGCATGCTAACAGACATTTTAACTGACCCAAAGTCAAGCTGAGGCTGATGGGAAAGGGTTTGTTTTGCAGGTTTTAGGTGAAATTGTTGCTATGATGATGGCGCTCGATGAAAATTGTCCTGAGGGGAACAGGAACATCTGAACCATGATTTATGACACTCCATCTCGTAGTCGTTGAGGAATTTCATACCAAACCTCATGGTGATGCTAGAGGACCAATCAGAGGGTCTCCAGTGTCAGCAGGAGTCATCATCTGGGGACCATGAGTGTGTTGGAGATACTAACAAACTGGGACCTCACACTAGCTGCAGGGCAGGAGCGTTCACGTAATGTGTGTGTTCACCTTGAACAGAGCCGAGAGCTGTGTTCCTCCGGGAAAGCGTGGGATCTGCCAGACGATGGCTCTGCTCTGCAGCTTCAGCTCAGCGCTCTGATCCGGACTGCTGAGCTCCTGTGATAAACTGGGCCCACAACACACAACAGCTGTTTCATTCACACCTCTCCAACAGTTTTTTCATCAGAAGACTAAACTTTACATACTAAATAAATGTTGGAAACTAGAGGTAATGCTTGAGGATCTGAGCGGTTGTTGGGATTTAGACGCTCCCGGCACTGTGGGAGATGATGTGGGGGTGGAGCAGCGAGGCAGAAATGTTTTCAGAGGTGATTTAAATGATAATCCTGCCAAGGGCTCTCAGCTGATGTGTCATCTTCCACAACACTGCTCTGGTCTAGGACAGGAAATACTTATCTCTAGTTTGGTTTTTGTCTTGTATTAATAAAAACTACTCATGGTGTTGCTGAAAGCAACCTCATTTTATATTTAGTGCCTGAAATGTCTGCTCAGCACTGGACAGGCTGCATGATTAGATGCGTGTTGCTGAAGTCCTGCAGGCTGCTGCATCACATTTAACCACACTGGAAACACACAGCGGAAACTAAAAGTAGGCAAAAGGGGCTTTATGTGTACATTTAGTTCTCTGGTAGCTCACAGATTCACTATGGGTCTTATCAGACCATATGAATTCTGACCAACAGGTCTTTTATAGCAATCCTACACTCACAACACTTAAACTGATACTGAACTGTTTATTATCAGCACATGGATTTAATAACATAAAAAGACAGAGTAATAAACTGGGATTTTCTTTTAATCATCTCTTAACCCCACAGTTTTCAATTTCTTCTTATTCCACACAGTTTGAATCATTAGATGTGTTTTGCATCATATTGTTGTAGATGGAATCTGAGATGTTTACACAGTGAAAAAAGACTTTGTCTTTATGTCTGCAGAGCTCAGTCAAATGTCAATTGTCCCACGCGCCCCGTACTAAATTTTATACTCTGTCATGTTTCATCCTGACAGCTTTAGTATCTTTGGCAACTTTGGGCGCTCCACTAGAAATAAGTCACATTTGGTGCTTGAACAATTTGCTACTGCACAGCCTGAGTTTGCCGAGACGCTCTAGCTGAGCAGGTGACGTGTGAGAAGTGAATGTTCCAGCAACCGGCACTACACCCGTTGATAATCTTCATTTCCATGACTTTACTTAACAAATTAGGAGGCTTCTTTGTGCTCAGTGCTTCCTGATTTGTTAATGTTGTTTCCTATTTAAAAACACAGCCAGTTTTTAATATTTGATTTCCCAACAGAGATGAGGAACTTTTCCAACTTCCCCAATCTGGACCTTCCTGTTTATGTCCACAGAGCTGACGCATCACAGACATGAGCACATACAGGAAAAACAGCACAAGACGCATTCAAATAAAAAATAAAGTAGGAGAAGTCGTATTGAGCTGCAGGTGCAGGTTTTTACATACACATTGATTTCCATAGCAAACATGAGTCTGAGGAGAGCAGCTACATTTGAATGGGAGCGTCTCACCTCACAGAGCCTTTGGGAACTGGGATGGTGGCACTGACATTGATGGCAGCACTGCAACAACATAAGGAGACCATCATCATTATCATCGTCAGCTCTTTGTCACATCCGCTAATCCTCAATATCTTTACTAACATTGTGTCAGTAAATGCTCCCTGCACACATCACCTGTCAGACCACCCAGCAGTGGGGCACAAAGTGCATTTACTCAAGTACATTTTAAAGGTATTTGTATTTTACTTGTACTATTTTGTACTTCTACTGCACTACATTAAGTACTTGCATACAAACCATTAAATAAACCTAGAAACTACAATAAAATGTTAATTATCTTATCTCTACACTACCAGTTTTAGAGCACCCCAGTTTTTACTGATGTGAGCAGGTCGAGTGCAGTGAATCACCTTAAATGGTAAAGCTAAGAAGTAAACATCACCAAAAACCAAATCGTGTGTAAACGTCATATGAACCAGGCCTTTCTCAGGGATCAGTAGCAGGTGAACGCCCATCTTCTCTGCAGCAGTGAAGTAAATGAAGCCTGATGCAAATGGTTTCTACAGTTCCCAACTGTTGTTGGTGACTGACACCACCAGATTCTGCCTGTACAGTTTTCTGCCCCATCTACGAGTGCCTCTTGCCTGTGATGCCCCTCAGAGGTGAATACAGTTTGACTTTTAAAAGCTCCTGTCATTGTCTGACTGATATCAGCTAAATAAAAACTGACCTCTTTGGTGACAGATCACAGCGAAGCTTCATGTACATCAGCAGCCTGCAGGGAGAAGAACATACTGTGAGCACAGGGCTTCACATTTCCTGACTTTGCATTAGGTCAAAAATGTAAAGATAGCAAACACACTTTTAGCTGCGTGTTCTACTGGTTATTTTCATGCATACGAGCCACGGCTACAGTGAGCAAACGTGTCAGTCTGCATTTAGGTTACAGAGATGACTGCACAGGAGTTGACAAAGTGTTAGAGGAAGTACTCGGGCCTTTTACAAATACAACAGAGTAAAAATACTCCATGACAAGTTCTGCATTCAAAGTCAAAGTTCATAAGAGTTAAAAGTAAAGCTTCTGCAGCAGCTGCTGTGACTGTTGTACTGTGATATAAAATGACTGGATTGCTGTTACTGAAGCACTGATGTGAAAGCAGCATTTTAAATAAAGCAAAGGATCTTTAATTATATAGCACCTATCTAAACAAATGTTAAAGCATTTTACAGAATTAATAAATACAACAAAAAGAAACAGTAAACCTAAGCTGCATGTCTTTGGACTGTGGGAGGAAGCCGGAGTACCTGGAGAGAACCCAGGCAGGTACTGGGAGAACATACAAGGTCAACGGCTTTTTTATTCATTTTTTTCTTTTTGGACAACTGTGCCTTTCATTGACAGTACATAATCAGGGAAGACAGAAAATGTTGGGAGAGAGAGGATGGGACAACATGCTGGAAAGTCTTTCCACATACATTGAAGTCCACCTACTGGGCCCAACCAAGCAGCAGTCCAGTGTGTAACCCAGCATAAAACAGTGAGTTGGATTTACACTTCAGTTGCCGAATGAACTGAACAAACATGTTTTTCAATGAGTTTTTCTTTCTGCTGTCAAACCCCAGTAACATCACGCTAGAAAGGATGGACACACACACAATCATCTCAGGGTGGGTGTATCTCAAGCCCATACCTTCCTCCGCTGTCTCTCTCGATGGCTGGGAAGAGACGGAAGGGAGGAGCTGAAGGCAGATCATCGCTCAGATGGTACTGCATCACGGTTTGCTGCAACAGCAGGAAAACCAGGAAGGAGATTAAGAAGAAGACGAGATGGAGAAAGAAGAATGGAGCGTGTGTAGTCAGGACAAATCGAGTACTCATTTAAGACTTTTTGATCATTGTCTGCACATGGATCTTCAACTAAAGTCACCTAATTGTTATGCAGCAAAAGAAAAATTATATAAACTATGTAATGATGTTTACACACTGCAGTGAAAGTCTGGCAGCGCTAATGAACATGGTACAAAAGGTTTCAGGATGTAAATTGTACAGAAAACATTCTTGAGCTCAGGTGAAAGTGAAGGTAGTGGATCAGCTGGTGTCAACAGGAAACCAGCTACGAAGGACATCATCACTAATCAGACCACATGACGGCGAGTGGATGGAGCACCTCCCCCTGGCTCGGGCAAAGTCGGAGGATCTGGTGGCTGTCGAACTCATCCAGTCGGACCGCCTGGTGGAAGCTGCACTCATCGACACGAACAGTGGCGCCGTAACCTGGAGACCAAACAACATAGGTCAGAAACTAGCAGACTGATTCCAACGGCTGAAACAGCACGAAGACACAAACTGCAAACATTTAAAGCCAAATCTTCTAACTGATGAAATGGAAACCTGTCACACTTTGACCCTGCATCAAATATGCATCTGAACTGTCAAACCAGCACAACACACAGTGACCAGAAAATATAACATAAGTCTGTTATAAAGGCCAGGGCAGAAACATGTTTCAGGTGGGTTTGTGTTTAATTGTAATGTAACAGAACTGATGACACAAACAAGTTAAAAACCTGAAATAAACCAGACAACAGATTAAGTTAAGTGACTCAGGTTGCCCTGGTGGTCGGGGGGGTTAAGATGCAGCAGTCATTTTATTTTGTTGTCTGGTCATTTACACAATCCTTCCCTCAAGGAACCACCAAGACACATTAATAAGAAAGAGTCCAATAATCTGACCTCATGCAAACATGACAAACCTACAGGTAATGTCCCACTTAAAGCTCCGTCCTTAATTCCAATCAACTGTAATCTGGGCCAACTTCTTAAAATGATCTGGTTGCATATCATGATATAAAAGGACAGCAGAGAATAAAACAAATGTCTGCTTTCTAATTAAAATTTCCCATCTGAGAGAAAATCCAGCTGAGAAAAAGGCAATAACGAGGAAGGTTGTGTATTTTTACCTCTGAGCTGTGACTTGCCGATGCTGAACTCCTCATTCAGGCCGATTCGCATCTCTGGTAAACAAGAACAGCACGTTAGAGAGAAACAGTGTGCATAGCAGCATCTGTCAGGACAACTCTGAATGACGACAACCCACTATAGAGAAGTCAGACGAAATAAAAAACATTAAATGTTTCTAATAACACAATCACAGTACACAGACCCGCCACTCACAAACTTAACGTTGCTCTGTCTGATTACAGGCAGAGGACACAGATTTTTCAGCAGAAGGTTTGTCCCCTCTGCCACGGTGATGCACAACTCAGAAGGTTGCTAGTCTCAGTAACACAATATGTACTGACTGGAAATGTACAGACAGTAACAGATGACAGGACGACCCAACACAGAGTCTCAGTGAGGTGCTGGGCCCCCATGTGCCAGAACAGCTTCACCTCGGCAATGACTCTCCAAATCTCTGGACTGTCCTGGAGGGATGAACACCATTCTTCCAAAAGATGGTGGTGGTGGAGATGCTGTCTAACACATCGCTCCAACATCTCCCATAGCTGTTCAACTGGGCTGAGAACCAGTGACTGGGAAGGCCATAGCATCTGGTTCACATCATTGGTGATGTCTGGGGTGACAGTGCTAACCTCACCTGAGCAGCTCGGCATGTAGCACTTCACTCTGATCTCTCCCTCCACGTCTGCCTTCATCAAGATTCCCTGCAGCACAAACAGGTTTTACTCTTGACTTGTAAGCACCAGTAACAACATCCATCCTTCAGGGGCCAAATCTAACGTCTGCAAATGAAACTTAACAAAACATGACAGTTCCAACAGGCAGATTTAAGACATTTTAAACCTTTTAAGGAGCACAGATTTGGATTATTCTGGTTTTCTGTGACTGCTGTTAGCGTGCTTCTGTTACTCACGTTGGAGCCAATGACGACCGACATCCTCTCAATCACGTTCACAAATATCTCATTCTTTCCTCCCTGAAAAAACACACACAGGGTCTGACTCTGCGTTCACCACTGATGATCAGAGCAGTTTGTTTCAGGAGGTCTCCAGTCTGGCTGGGACAGGACTATTTACTGGAACATTTTATTCATATCAACTAGTTTCACATCAGACTCATCATCTGTAACTGATCATCATGATGCTTAAACAACTTCTACAAAGTTTAGATGGTAAAAACTCAAAACAACTTTAACCAATCCTGAAAAAAAGACTATTTTATCTATAAATCTACAAACATGATGTAACTTTGATTCACTTAAAAAGGAAAAAACTGGATTCAGGCTCTCTCCAATAATCGGCTGTTGGTTTACGCACTTTAACAGCAGGATAGATTTGGACTCAGACTTGTAAACATTTCTTACTATCAAAACTAATTTAATAGTTTAATGAGTCTTTGGTTTAGATTAATAGGTGCGGCTCCTATTCAACAAATGTCTACTATAATATCACAAATACAAACTGCTGATTAACAAGTGCAGACATGAATATAAACTTCTAAAACAAATCCACTTTCTACACGTAATTCTCAGGAATGAGCCCTCTTTGCTTTGCTCATGTTTGTGTTTGTTTCTGAGACTAAACTGAGTCTTTCCCATTGCTGTAGGTGGTGTGTGAGGCAGTGTCACTGTGTGCAGGGCCTTCAGGATGACAGATGCCGTGATCTGTACCTGCTCTCTACTCGACTGGATGGGTCTGGTGGCTGCAGAGCTCGGAGCCACTTTACTCTGCTGTGTCTCGGCTCCAAACTGCAGCAGACACGAGAGAAACAGGTGAAAACAGGATGGAAAACTGTACAGGCACAAATTAAATAAAACAAATTGTTTTAAAGCTACACACTGACACTTAAACATTGTTGTGCATTGTTTCTATAAAGGCAGAAAAACTCAAACATAACGTGCCTCCCATCAGACCAAACCATGACATACAGTGATGCACCGGTAGTGGTACATTTTCCACGTCGAGTCAGTCAGAGCAGTGACTTCTGACCTCTAGTCTAAAGGTGTCAGGTGTTGTTTGTTGGTGTGAACGTACCAAACTGACATTGCTGAGGTCAAACAGGTTGAATGGTCTTGAGGAAACAGCTTCAGTCTGGATGAAATTCTTCAGGACGTCAGAGGACGTCGTCTGGATATAACCGTAGTCCTGATAAACACAGACGTAGTTAAATTCTTAATTATAGTTAAGAATATTTTTAATTATATTTTTATTTCCTCTCAACTGTCATGAACATTAAAGAACTCAGATTGTCCCCCCAGTCTGTTAAGTCCAGTGACAGTGGGCCAGGACGTGGTGTCTCTCAGCTGTATTGTGTTGCATAAAGAGAACATTAATGGCTGAAGCCACGAAGGGGCTGGCCAGTGTTTATTTGCCAATTACCTATTGCGTAATGGGAAATAGGAAATTAAGGCTATGTATTCACACTAGTATCATATTATAGCACACAATATACAACCTAGATTAGAATTACCTGTAATATTTGCCTATACCAGAGTCAAATTCCTCGTGTGTCTGACACACCTGGCCAATAAAGCAGATTCTGATTCTTCTATACACATAAAGCATTTAGATAAAAGTGACGCTGTTTTCTGCATTGCAAATTTTTTCACTGGTTAAATATTAGATGCAACTGCTAGAAAGCTGTAACACCCTCAGTCTTGTTGTTTCCCCTGAGTCCTGCGCTCTTCTAGCAGTGTTCGACTGAGTAGTCTGATAAACCAAGCTGGCGGCGTGTTGGCGCTCCACATGAGGAGGACACAGGATACTCACCACAACCTCATCCAGCAGCTCGTAGATCAGAGCAAAGTTCATCTGCACCGACTTCTCCGACAGGCTGCCGCAATAGTCTTTAACCAGAGCTGTTAACCTGCAAACACAGAAGCCACTCAGTCACTGACGTGGTTAAACCTGGGAACTGGTGCCTCTCCGTTGTTTCTTAAATCCATGTATAAAGGCCAGGTAGTTCTCTACTTCTCAGATATCATTTTCATTTATTTTTGAGAACCAGCGCATCAGAAGATGATCACAAAACAACACAACTAAAGTTTAAACAGCACAGAGCCGTCTCATCTTGTCGTATTAACGAGACAAGAAAGACAGGGCTCACTACGATTTGAGTCTTTTGTTTATAATCCTGCCATTTATTTGTTGTGGTATTTTTCTGAGATGTGAACTTATTTATTAAGATATATACATAAACCACAGTAAAACCTTGTCATAATGTCTGTGGGTGAGGAAAGACAAAGCTCCACAATGACCAGACAACAGAAAAAAAATGTAATGTCTGTGCCAATTTTTTTTTCTATTTTCTGTTGCTTGTTTTTATGTAACTGCAAATATCGATTATTTTAATAAGTCACAGTAATTGCAGTTATTAAACAGCTACAAACTGTCTTGATAAATGGTATGAAAGTGACAAACATATTTCACATATATAAACAAAATTTATGTGCAGAATTTCTGGTAATTATGTCTTTTTTTATTCCTCAAATCTATATTTATTTCCAAAATGATTGTCAAAATGATATGGCAGCCATTTTACACTGAGGTTAAGACAGGAGAATAAAATGAAGAACTAATTATGTTCATCTTAAATATTACAGAAATCATCACTGTCACTACATAAAGTGTTTCAGCATGAAAATCCATATGTTAATGTCACCAAGGTTCCTATATCATAAATTCAATTCTGTCGTTGTAACAAACTAAACAACTAAAAAATATGTTGTAACTTCAGTGAGTTAGGATGACTTTGGATGCGTCCCTGTGTCAACATGGCGGCCACGATGCTGCAGTGAACATGAAATATCTTCAGTCTGACCATAACTACACAATTATCCTGCCTCTGGGTCACTGAAACTCCACCAGGGGCCCTTTGTGTGTGGGTGCCATGGTGATAAACTGAACCTGTTCAGGAACTCGATGATGGTAAAGGGCGAAGTGTCGGCTGTGGTAGTAGCAACCCAGTACAGCCCCCCCTGCCTGACATGGACAAAGTGAAGATCTTTGTGAGCCTGCAGAACAGAACACATCACATCACTGAAGCTTCCTCCTCTTCACACTGTTTGTATCATCTGCAACATTTAACAAGGAGAAATCATTCACACAGGACATGATAATTCAGATCAGTAAGGATACTGTAAGTGTCTCCTGCTATTGATAATGTTCACATTTACTCTGTTTCTCCGCTTGGATGGTTTGAAGCTCTTTGTCTTCAAACACATCCAGCTGTAAAGGAAAAAAACAAGGTCATTTTGTGTGTGAATCTCCCTGATCTACAGACAATTTACAGCAGCTGTGCACAAGCAGCAGAATGAAAGATAAACACTGCAGGTGCTGTGATTGGTCCATGAAAACTACATTAAGAATATTATAACCACACTCGATCTATAGTCACAAAAGAGAAGCAGCCAACACTGTTTTTGAAAAATATTTGATCCATTTGGCCCTAATGTGAATTTTTCTTTTCTTTGTGAAGGTTTGACAGTGTCACTGCAGGTGCCCGAACACATATACACACACTATGTTACCATGACAACAGGAGGCTGGTCTCCAGTTAGTGCTGTGACCTTCTCGTAGAAAATACTGACAACGTCACTTCCAGCTTCTCCACGGACTGATGGTGACGTTAAGAGCTTTATACAGTTGAAACAAATACAACTAAACACAATGTCATCAATTAATGTGCCAATTATTTTCTCTATTAATTGTTTCAGTAGACAAAGACATACATGCATTTGCATTTCAGCTGCAGGACAAAGAGGTGAGGATACAGTCTTTATAAATGAGATGGTCGCCCTTTGACGACAAGATGAAAACCTGAGAAATCATCCTGCTGAGAGGAGACAAAAAATACAGGCATGAGAGAGGAACAGAGATGGATGTCAATCAGCTAAATCTCAACATTATCAAGATGGTGATTTCTGATTTGCTTTAAGGTATTTTGTTGCAGAATGCTATCAAAGCAAAGCTCCAAGAAACAACTGCTTCATGGCTTATGACTTGTCTCTAGCAGGAATACCAGGCAGCAGCATTGGCCCACCAAACATTCTGTTAACTGTATGTCCTTATAAATAGAAAAACATTGTTTGTGTTATGATTACGTCAATCTTTTTCAATATCCTAATATTACACAGACCAGTTTCATAAATACATACCCAGTCTGCTCGTTACTCAGGCTTAAGTTTTAATTAAAATGTTCTAGTAGAGGCGAGAACAGTGAACCTAAATGGCAAAAGATAACAACTAAATATGCTTGGTAAGGTCTGGTTCATTGTATGCCGAATTTATCAGAACTTCCAGACGAGCTAGAGAAATTCCTTTAAATGTTTTTAAAAAGCGGATAAGGTTTGAACGCGAGTAAAAAGCACATTCAACTGGCTGAAAGTAGGTCCCAACTATTAGCATGCAAAAATGAACTTTAAAAGCTAACTTCGATTTTACTTACCCACAGAAGGTCTGCGGTGAAAGAGAACTAAAGCAGTGAAAATGTTAGGTTACTTTATTTTGCTGCAAAGCCATGAATGGTATTAAAAACTATTTTACTAGCTTAACTGTTACCATGCTGGTCTGGCTAACCGGCAAGTGTACGCTAAATTACCTATTGCAGCATATTTAGCTTGCTAAATTTCTAAACGTTGATACGGGAGCAATATGTGATAAACTAGACAGCAATGATCATTTTCTAAAGATAATACAGTTGGCAAAAGTCTTTAAAACTCCACTGAAACACATCTTGAATGTATGCTATTAAGCTAGCTGTTTACTGGTAAGGTGTTGTTTACAAACCGTCTCAAGAGATGGCAAACAACCTCACAGCGCCACCTGATGGACGGGTGGTTAAAATACACATAATGACGATAGGGCAAATATTGTGTTATAGCTGTTAAAATGGTTGTTAAAATTACACTAATCATACTTTCATATAATATACTGTTTTATATACCTTCTGAACAATACGTTTTATTATTTTATTATTTAGACTTATTAGCGTAGTTTGTAGTGATAACATCCGAACACTAGGCGGCAGGAGAGGCAGTGATTCATGCGGAAATGGTCAGCAAAGCATTTCCACCATAACAACGCCTTCTGTTTCATGTAGTTCATCATGAAGTAAGTAGACATTTTTACGGCAAACTGATTATTTAAGTTCTATTTATCGTTCGTTTTGTATTCACGCTGTCGTGAGATCTATCACCCGACTTAGGCAAACCTTCCAGCTAGAGCTATCAGCTAACTAAAACGGTCGATGATTGGCCACCTCAATTCATTCTCGTGAACAGAACTCTGTTCAGAAAATATAATTTAAGAGCTCCCCTTTAATCAGATAGTTAAAATTCCTCAGTAACGTTGAACACAACATCTAACGTTCTAACAAATATTTATGAGCAGATGATGAATTCGGCACAAATCATGCTTGTCAGATCTGTGGTGTGCTTCCACGTTTTCTGCTACCTTGGTCCGCGGTCACTTTGTTTAATGAGGATCGTTTTTCTTTCGGGTTGGTCGAGATTGGTTGGGTTGCAGAATTTAACTGTTGATTCTAAAGGCGAACTCAATGTCTTAAATAATTAAGTCATAGACGTACATGTTTCCTGATAAGTGTTAAACATAAACGTGAATGGAGTCACCAACGTGCACCCTAAACTCGCACAACCGGGAGTTCTGGCGAGCTGCTAACTAGACTGAATGGAGTCTGGCATGGCGGTTTCTAAATTGTGAAGCAACTTAGATTTACAAAAGTGGTTTATGAACAAACTTTTACATACTCGCTTAAATACAAAGAATCGTCAGAATGTAACCCACAAGGACTCTGACTCCGATGTCTCTGAATGTGTACATACAGTAGAAATGGGTATACAAACTGTATAGAGTGTTTTATAAATGCAGAATGGGTAATATAAGTTATTTGATGTGCATACTGTAGGTGTGTATATAGATTAGCTAGCAGCTCTCCAGGACTTCTGGTTGTGTGAGTTTAGGGTGCACATTGGTGACTGACAGTAAACATATTGCCTTCACACAACTGTGTAGTTATTGTTGTGCCTCAGTTCTTGAAGGTTTACAACTTGTATAAACCTGGTTTAGCTCTCTATCGATGGATTACTAACAAGGCAAATAAATAAGTCTTTTTCTCTGCCCTCTGTTTTCAGTCCGCTAACGAAGGTGAAGTTGATCAATGAGCTGAATGAGCGTGAGGCCAACCTCGGGGTCAGCGAGACCGTGTCCTGGCACACCGAGTACAAAGACAGCGCCTGGCTATTTGTTGGTAAGACAGACCCTCCTGTATGTACGAGTCAGGAGCTAATGCTGCATGATTTCTTGGTTTGGGCTCCAGGCTTCAGTCAGTCTGAGCATTTGAATGCAGGCACCAGCTGTGTCCAACAGTGAGCTTAAAACACATGGATGAGCTAATCTTTTGTTTCCTGCAGGGGGCTTTCCATACGACCTGACTGAGGGTGACATCATCTGTGTCTTCTCTCAGTACGTACCTGCACACGTTCCTTGTCTTCTTCATTTCAGACACCACACAGCTTGTAGACATCTCCCCCACTAAAACAGCCCTGGTTAGCAAACAGGAGAACTCACTCTCCTTTTCTCCTAAACACCTCTCAGGTACGGAGAGGTGGTCAACATCAATCTGGTGCGTGACAAGAAGACGGGGAAGTCCAAAGGTTTCTGCTTCATCTGCTACGAGGACCAGAGGAGCACCATCCTGGCTGTGGACAACTTCAACGGCATCAAGGTGACACAGCTGGTCCCTTCACACACCTGAAACCATGAACCTCTGGCTCCAACAAATCAGACTACGTTCTAACTGCCTCTCTATGCTCAGACACGGGTGGTAACCGTCACCTCATGGTTAATTCTTCCAATTTGTTTGTTGTTGTGTTCTGTCTGAAATTTCATTGATGAACTCATGAATTTAATCTGTGTTGTGTTTCTGTGGTCAGATTAAAGGTCGGACCATTCGTGTGGATCACGTTAAAGACTACCGACCTCCTAAAGACTCGGAGGACATCGACGATGTGACCAAACGTCTGAGGGGGGAGGGCTGTGCTCCCAAAGTTCCTGAGTCCTCCTCCCCCCCAGACGAAGATGAGCCGTACAGCATACCTGTGAAGAAGCCCAAAAAAGGTGAGGTCACTTCCTGTTGTCTAGATCCACCTGGTTCATGAATCGTTGTGGCCAGATTTTCATTCCTCCTCTCACTGCTACAGACAAGAAAGAGAAGAAGAAAAAGAAGAAAGAGAAGAAGGAGAAGAAGAAGAAGGCAGAGAGAGTGAGGGGGAGCCAGCCACCCTCCTCTTCCTCACTTCCTCCTGCTGTCAGAGTCAAGGAGGAGAAGGAGGACGCTGCTTATGATAAGTACAGCCAGAGGGGGGTGCCGGCTGGAGGACAGCAGAACGGACAGAGAGCGAGGGAGAACGAAAGACTCAGAGGGGAGGAGGAAGAGGAGAGGAGGAGAGAGCCAGACAGGGAGAGGGATGAAGACAGGAGGAGAAATCGTGAGAGCGAGAGGAACAGAGAGGGAGACAGGAGGCAAGAGACAGACTATGACAGAAGAAGAGAGACTGACTGGGACAGAGACGACAGAAGAAGAGATGTAGACAGAGACAGAAGGAGAGAGACAGACAATGATAGAAGAGAGATGGGCAGGGAGCGAGACGACAGAGAGAGAGAGACAGACAGAGACAGAGATGGAGAGAGAAGAAGAGAGGCCGATCGGGACAGAGACAATAGAAGAAGAGAGTCTGGCAGAGACAATGACAGGAGGAGGGAGACTGACAGAGACGATGATAGAAGAAGAGACGCAGATAGAGACAACAGAAGAAGAGACACGGCTAAGGACAATGATAGAAGAAGATAGATGGCCAGAGACACCGACAGAAGAAGAAAGATGAACAGCGACAACAGTAGAAGAGAGACACACAATACATGAACACTGAGACCAACAGTCACTTGTTAGAGGACAAAAAAATGACTTTTTCTTCCATAAATAAAGCAAATATGTAATGTTTAAATAAGTACAGACGTGCATATGTTAAGTGAATAAAAAATAAAAGCATAAATACATAAATGTTGGTAGATCAATACAAATATACATTCCCATGTCAATGTGTGGAAATGTAGACAAAGTCCTGTTCATTTTATGATGTACCCAAGTTTAATAATTTAAATAATTTTAATTTCAGCTTCACTGTTCACACAAAAAGCAAAGTTACATGTTTGTACCGTTTTAAGTTTTATAATAAAATAAGGAAGTGTTTTCCAAACATGTGCAGTGGAATTTATTTCAGTGTTTTCTTCTATTCCTCTTACTTCTAAGGCAGCCATTTGTTTTCTTTTATTTCCAAATAGAGACCCAGTTTTCTGACACTGGGCCCCAGAGTTCATTGGTAGTCTTCAGATGTCATTACACCATACACACAATCAAGGCATCTGGTGCCTGAAGCAGCAAAGCAACCCCGGAACATCAGTGAACCTCCACCGCATCCAACTGTAGGGTAAGTGTTCTTTTCTCTGAAGGAATCATGTTTTCTGAGAACTGTAGAATGATGTGCTCGACCAGAAAGCTCTATGTTACTCGCCTGTCCACAGGACATTATCTCAGAAGGACTGTGGCTTCCTCAGGTCAGTTTTGACAAACTCCAGTTTGGCTTTGTCTCTGTGTCAGCAGTGGGGCCCACTGGGTCTCCTACCGTAGCGTCCCCTGTCATTCAGATGTTGACAGATGGTGTGAGCTAACATTGTTTCACCCTGTGCCTGCAGGTCAGCTTGAATTTGTCTGAAAGTTGATCGAGGTTCTTTATCCACCATTCAATCTCATCTCTCACTTGTAATGTATGAAAGTCTACAGCCAGACAAATAAAGTTATAACTGATGTGTGGGTGATTAAGTTTATTATTCCAGAAGGAAATCGATTTGCAGAACAGGCACAAACACAGAACAGCAAAGAAGATGATCAACAGGAAAGTGAAGCTAAAACCTGCACGTTGACGCCACACAGCACTGACCTGCAGTGATTGCAAAGTGCAGCGGTTCAATGTGTGAAACCAAAGTTTGCATAAATACAACTTAACTCAGGTTGCTATTTACAGCAGGTAAGAGACATTTTCCAGACCTTTGTGACTAAAATGACTGAATACTTTTGAATACTACTAGTTTTCTGAGGAACTGAACTCAAGACTAAGACCCGCAGAGACCCTGAAAGAGTTCTGTCCAAGGAAACTTTACTAAAATGACTCAAATGACGGGCCGATAAAACAAACATTACAAACCCACATTTCAGATTCATGTTTTAAAAAAAAAAAAGAAGAGTCCTTTGCAAATTAATATTTAGACTAAAACACAGCCTCATTAGTTGGGCGATGGATCGCTGTGATCAGGCAGCTGGTTTACACATGATTAATGACAAATGAAAAACCAGAGCAGCAAAAAATGAGATATTTTAATAATGAAAGAACAACAGACCATCACCTGAGGGATCTGTGTATTAAACAGTGAAGGTTAAGCCTTTTCAAAGTTTCTTGTAATAACCTACTTAACCAGCGGTGCCACATTTGACTGACGTAAATGGCGCCCAACTTGGAACCTTGGTTTTCATTTTCATTGAGAAGTTTGTCTTAAAACTACAAAGACTTTTGGAGGACGATGCATTAAACCTCAAATGTCTGCACTTGTATCAGCAGTTTTACCAGAACCAGGAAGTGTAATGTTGCAATGGATTCCCTGTTTTTGAGTCTATATTTGTTTACATTTTGCAAACATATGCTGACTTCACTCTCTCCAGCTGCGGTTTGCAGTACAGACAACTCTCTGAAACAGTGAGGAAAATGTTAGAACCTGACGATTTCCACTTAAACAAGTGACACCTAAATGCTGCATTGTGAACGAACCTGATGAAGTCAAGTTTTCTTTGGCTAAACGAACATGGAGGAAACGCAGCTGAGGTCTGAGGGGTTTGCGGTTCAGTTACAGACGTTTGTGGTCAGAGGTATCTGGTGAAGTTGGTTTCTTCCTGGTTGGTTGCTACAAAGGTTTAGAAAAAAAGAATGTTAGGAAATCTGGTTTTACCCACAATGTCTTTAAAGGTCATAATGTCCATCTGCTGTGTCGCTGAGGCTTTAAACAAGCAAGCAGCCATCTGTTTTTAATACAGTTCTCCTGTAGGAGTTGTAATACCCTGGGCAGCTTTCAGTAAAAAACAAATTGATGTGAGGTGAACCGCTACAGCACCAAGACTCCCCGAGAAAGGGGGTGAATAGAAAAGTAAGGCGCTGACGGATAAACAGAGCACAGGAGGATTAATCCTCCATTTCACTGCTTTTATCTGAGATTCAAAAAGGTCTGAGGATTCACTGGATTTCACAGCTCACTCCCACAGAGGTCACACTCGGACTTCCACAGTGTGAGGGACGAGTCCTGGCCACCGTCAGCCACTGTGCACAGTCCTGCAGGGATCTGAACCAGCAACCTGGGACATGGCCCACAGCTCTGCTCAGCACAGCACCATCAAGTCCAGTGAGCATGTTCACAGTATTCTGCTGTGGCTTCACTGCCAGCTGACATCTGGAGGTGGCGCAAAGCAGCTTTTATCTTGGATCTTACTCTAGTGCCAATGATCGAATTCAGGTGCAGCTACCATTACTGATCTGCTACTGTTATTTTACGTCAAACTGATTCAATGTTTCATCTTTAAAACATGAAAAAAACTGGCAGACAGTGTCAGAGCCCAAAAGCATAAATTTTTATTTACTTGATTTGTCAGACCAACAGTTCAAAAGCTGATGACTTTTAAACTGTCACATGTGACAGTTGGTTTATTCCTTTCACGGCTGCTGTTTAGGTGGACTCTGCTGTTGAACACTGAACTCAGCCCTGACCGACCACACCGACACTGCCAGCTGAAGACAACAGAGGTCAGAATATTGTGAACATGCCGTCAGACTGACAGGAAGTCCGATAACCCGCTGTGGTAAATAATGTGTTCATCTCCAGTGAGAGCAGAATCCTGTCTGCTCAGGAGAATAAACTCAGGACAGCTTGATGTCTGTCTCGGCCTGGGCAGGTGAAGGAACAGGCCCAACCTCTTTCCTATCGAGGGCTGAGGCTCTTCGATCCTGGAGGTTTCGCCCACTTTTCTTCAGGGGCCCAGTGACGACCAACACAGACGTCACACAGATCAGAGCCGGCTTCCGTTGTGGCTACTGAAATGTCTTTGTTTGAAGCTGCTTCAAATGTTTTCCTCACAAAGTATCAATAGAGAACTTGTCAAACGACTCGCCACAACTGTAGGACATATAGATCCAGTCCCTGTACTCACATTGAGGCAGGATGTGATCCAAAACCTCCTGAACTAACCCCGTGTTTTGTCTCTTGTGATGTCAGTTTTCTGTGTGCGACTGCTGAACGCTCCCTCAGCACATGGAGATGGTGACGTTGATCCCCAGGTTGCCATTGTCGGCAAACAGATGGGCGATGGAGGTGTCAAACACCAAGCAGTCGCTGTTCATGATGGCAGGCGCCACTCCCTCCTCATGGATGGAGCGCGGCGTGGCCTCCCAGGTGAGCCGGCGGCGAATGCCGTTGAGCTCCAGGCGGTAGGCGAAGTTCTCTGCCTGCTTGCGGGTGCCGATGAGCAGCACAACGGCGAAGAACTGTTGGTGGCCTTCGTACTTCCCCTGCTTCTCCAGGACCAGCATGAAGTGGTGGCTGAAACACGACTGCATCATCACCCAGTCCATGGCACCCGGCAGGTTGATGTCCGTCGCCAGGAAGACAATGTCCTCCCCCTGCAGAGACAAAGAAGAAGACATTAGGACTGATCTCTACCTCTTCCTAGGAAACCCTCAAGCAACACTTAGTTTCCACTTTGTGTTGGCAGGTGTTGAGCAGAAACACAGGGATCATTTCAAGTCTTCTTCCAGGATTGTGTGTCTGCATGTACATGGCTAACACAGCAGGTTGTGTTGCATCTTGTTTTGAAGCCCCATTGTGTTACCAGACTGGCTCCACTCAAATCAGTGAGGAGGCTGTTTTTCCTTACAGGACTAAAGTTGGCCTTTGCTCATTAGTTGCAACAACAACCCCTCCTTTCCTCTGGATGCTCCTCGTCTACATCATGTCTCCTCAGTGGTTCAAGCCCCTTCTGAAGTGTGAAGAGTTTGTTTTCCAGCAGATTGAATGTGGGTTTTTCAGCTCATTTCGGACTGAGAAACCCTTGGTGCTGACCTGCAGGGTGGTGATGGACTTGTGTGCGTGCACCAGGTGAGGTATGACAGCCTCCAGTGAGCCGTGCCACTTGCAGGTAGCTCCAGGACATGGGCAGGTGTACGACCTGAACTCACACACCTCCTCATGATCAGGCTTCTCGGTGTGGTGGAGGGACAGCGGGCAGCCAGCCGATGAGTACTGTGGGACACAGAGACAGAATCGAGTCTCAACTGGCAGTAAATGATGATGGAAACAGGGCAATGTGTGTTCAACCTACAGAAACAGCACTGTAAACAGAGCCATACATTAACGATCCAGCAGCAGGATGAAGAAGCAGACAGTCATTCACAGCAGCACCTCATGTTTCAGCGTTCCTTCTTTTTGTAAAAATCACTAACGGCAGAAAAAGCACATTGACCTGTACAACATTCATTTTCTGTGGAAAGCTGCTGTGCTTTCAATATCAGAAAACACTTTAATCAATACATTATTATCATTTCCACCACAGTGCCCAAGACTATTTTCTGTTGGCTTCTCATCACGTTTCCTCTACAATCTTCTCTCTTTCTTCACTGTGCTGATGTTATTTACTAGGTCCTCTGTTTAAGTCCTTTCCTCTTCATGCTGTTCCGGATTAACACAAATGTGATACATATTTCTAATTACATTTCCACGGTTATCACCGAAAAGCTGTTTATCCTTTTGTCCCCAGTTCTTGTCTGTGGTGACACAAAGAACCCAGGCTGCGGCTCACGGTGAGTCTTTCATCATCATTCATCATTTAACTCGGGAATGCAACCAAACACCTTGACAACTGCTATCCAGTTCAACCGTCCTGTCAGTAACAGTCCAAATTTAGAATGGTATAATTTCTAAATAAAGCCCTTTTGGACAGCAACAGATAAAGTGAACCTGCCGTGCTCTGCATTTCCTCATCACGCTGAATGTGACTGCAGCTGTGAGACCAGGCTGTGCATTAACAACTTGACAGATTGAGTGTGACACAGTGTGTGTCTACAGATTAGTTGCAGCTTCCTCCTCAATTCTCTGAGAGCCTGAAGGTCACAGTGATGGGGTTCCTCCTCCTTCTCCTTCCCCGCCACTCAGCTGGTACAACAGAGCACCTATAGATTGGGG